TACCAGCATAACTAGTGCGTATCATTTTTAGTCTGCAACAAAAATATTTTCCTTTATAATATTACCTCATATATGAAAAATTTGATTCAATGATCGGATACTAAATATATATCAATTACTTTTCTATACTGTTAAATAAAGCTTTAAAAAAAAGAATAATTGTTCTATTCACAGTAGTGTCCAAAAATCTTTGAAATACCTAAAAATAAACTAAAAGGGAAAGTTACCAGATTTCCAGAATCCTAATTTTTTTAAAAACTGGATAAGATAATGCTAAAGTTTAATAGGTGATACACAGGTGAATTAGTGTTTTTTTTTCCACTGTTGTATCATTTTTTAATTTTAAGGAATATTATTGTAAACCAAAAAGATCATTATTAATAAAATCATAGACTTATTCCAGTATTTTAAAATATCCTCTGTAATATTCCACTCAGATAGTTGATAAAGTTCTTCCCTAAGGAAGGATGCAAATAGAATGTAATATTATATCACTGTACTAGATAGAATTCAAACTGTGAAGACAAGGAAATTCAGTTGTTCCATTTCCCCCTCCCAGATCATTTTTGTGATTGTCATTCAACATCCCAGAACTGTCTTGTTGAGATTCGCCAGAACAGTGTAGGAGTGAGGACCTTTGGCAGTTGGCATATGAACGTGACACTGCTTACATCCATCCTGTGGGAATGCCGAACAGTCAAGGGCTCAGCATCACATGCCAACCAGTCTATTAGGGCACTCACACACATCAGCACCTTTGCCCAAATCCTCCAACTTAAGCTTTAAATAGCCAAACTATCATCAAGGCCATATAGGTACCGTATCTGGAACTACAAATATACTTTGTTCACAAACGTTTGATTTTATAGCAAGAGTACCCTATGAGAGTCAAGAGCACAATCACATTTTTAAAAATCAAGAGAAATAAGTAAACACAAAAGGGCATTAGCACAAGGCAGAGAATCTTGCTTCTTGGCAATAGACAGAAAATAACTAGAGAAATAGAAATAGGCTCACAGATAGGTACAATCTAGAGTTTAATTCTCTGAGTATCAGTCTTGGAGACATAGCTATATACCTCTGAACACAGACTAATATTTTACGTTAGTAGTTTATTTATTTATTTATTTTTTGAGTTGGAGTCTCACTCTGTCGCCCATACTGGAGTGCAGTGGCTGCTCCTGGCCACCGCAACCTCGACCTGCTGGACTCCGGCGATCCTTCCACCTCAGCCTTCCGAGTAGCCGGAATTACAGGCATGCGCTACCACACCCGGCTGATTTTTTGATTTATTGTAGAGATGAGGTCTCGCCTTCCAGGCAGGTCTCGAAGCCGCGGGCTCAGGCAGTCCACTCACCTCAGCCTCTCAAAGGCACGGGATTACAGGCTGAGCCACCGAGCCCAGCTCGTTAGTAGTTTCTTATACAACAGTTTTAAAAAGTCTACCAGAAAACAACCCAAATCATATTTCCTTTATTGTCCACTCTAATAACCACTTTTATTCTTTATTAACCACTTTACTCTGAATTCAGTTAGTATAATCATGAGACTGCCTAGCCTAATGGTCTAGAGAAAATTCTCTTGTTGCTAAATGATGCCTTGCTATGGAACCATTAAGCTCCAGGTGAACCCTGAATTAGAAATAGAAATTTGTGACACAATGATATATTTCCAAAAATGAGAAAAATAGGAGATTTAAGGCAGACAATAATTCTAAGAGTCACTCAAATATTAAAATGGCTTATAGTGGCTGGCCTCAGTGGCTCAGCCTGTAATCCCAGCACTTTGGGAGGCCAAGACGAATGGATTGCCTGAACCTGTGGGTTCGAGATCAACCCGGGCAACTTGACAAGATCTCATCTCTACAATAAATTAAAAAAAATTAGCCAGGCATGGTAGTACATGCCTGTAGTTCCGGCTACTTGGAAGGCTGAGGCAGAAGGATCGCTGGAGCCCAGCCGTCGACACTGGGGTGGCCATGAGCATGCCACTGCACTCCAGCCTGCGTGACAGTATGAGACTCCAACTTAAAAAAAAAAAAAAAAGGCTCATAGCAAAACCTAATTTTCTATTAGGTCCATCTTATGGGTGAAACCACTCAGCCAGCAGAGAACAGTTGGGGGCTGCATGGTCAGACCACACTGAGGCAATTTTCTCATGGATTCACAGAAGAAAAAGTGACTTTTGAGGTCGTGTGGCTCGCACCTATCCCCAGAAAGACAGTCCAGTTTCCTCAGCCCCATTTTGTGCCTGGGAAAGACAGTGAGAGTATTTTCATAAGAGGTAAAGATGACAAGGAAACCACAGGCTTACTGTGCAAAAGTGTGAAAATATTATGATCAAGGAGCACCACATGTTGATTTTATCAGTTTGTTTTTCCAATCTATTTGTAATGTACACCACAGAAAAATCAGATTCCTAACAGAAAAGTATATATCTGTAGGCAAAAATGTGTTTCATGTTTTAAAAAAAGAATATAGGCAAGATAATTTCACTGTAAAATACCTTGATTTGAATGTGACTTAGTACTTATTTCATATTAACCAGATCCAGCTGCTGTGATAAATCTCTATAATATATTTTAGAATTTCTATTTTTAAATAATAACTATTGTTAAGCCAGAACAAAAACCTTACATTTGTGCATCCATGTGTAAGCTATCCTGCTTCGTATCATGGAGCCAAGATACAAAAAGATTAATTAACAATTCAAAAAATCTCTAGTCACAGTCTCACAAATAATATATTTCCTCACATTTCCTGATGTACACTACTGACTTGTATTAATGTGTCCTGAGTTTTCAGATAAATACCAGTGGATGGTTGGTTGTCAAAACTTAAAAGCAACAGGGTTAGGAGGACCTTTACAATATTGGCCATTAAATCTTAAGTAAAATTATTCTTAGAACTGGACCATAGTAAGTGGAATGCCCTAACTTTTCTTAGTTCAAACTCTGCAAACTGATTCTAACATTCATAATCATGCCTTTTTATATGCTTTAAGCTGACACGCTGACTTTGTGGTCTCTACTTTGCAAGAGACAGGTTACTCTAGCACAGAAGAAACTATATAATGTGGAACAGGGGAGGACTTCAGCGGGACTGTTCCATTTTTATTGATCCAGATCATTGCCTTCAGCCTTGCATTGAGGCCTTCTTGTATGTTGCTTTCTCACGTGTCACCAATCATCACACAGTCCCCAGACTGTACTCCGAGGAGATTGCAGCCATAATAAAATATGGACGGAGCTGCCTTCTCCTCTCTTTGCTCTCCACCTACAACAACAGCATCGAAATAGGACTGACAGGCACAAACTTCAATCTTCTCCCTCTGGGTCTCTCTCCTCCTTTGTTAATAAAAGTAGCCTATCTATCCCCGTACACAAAAATTAACTCTAAATGGATCAGAGACCTAAATGTAAAATCTCAAACCATAAGAACCTTAGAAAATAAAGGACATGCCCTCATTGAAATTGGAACTGGCATCCAATTCTTTTTTTTTTTTGAGTTGACGTCTCACTCTGTCGCCCAGACTGGAGTGCAGTGGCCGCTCCCGGCCACCGCAGCCTCGACCTGCTGGGCTCCGGCAATCTTTCCACCTCAGCCTTCCAAGTAGCCGAAATTACAGGCATGTGCTACCACGCCCGGCTGATTTTTTGATTTATTGTAGAGATGAGGTCTTACTGCCCAGATGGGTCTCGAACCCGCAGGCTCAGGCAGTCCACTCACCTCAGCCTCCCAAAGGCGCAGGATTACAGGCTGAGCCACCATAAGAGTACCCATTATTGCACTTTGCTAATAATAGGCTATGTTCATCTAATTTCTAATGGAATTTTTGTTTACTAGATGGACTGAACATGGTTTTTCATGTTTATTTGACATTTACATATATATTTTTATGTGTGTATGTGTATGTGCATATTTATTAACACAGCGATTTAGGAAAAATACAAAGGAGTCAGCTTACTAGCTTTCAAACTAAGAGGAAAACTCCCTTGAGGGTTAAGCACTTTGTTATGTAAATGGTACCCGAACAGGTAGGCAAATTACAGATAATTACTAATATCACACTTGAGTTTTGTAGAACTTAACAGAAAGATCTAGTTTTTCTTTATCTCGATCTGCTTCAGCCTCTAGGGCAGTGAGGACATTAACTATTGCATCTTAAGGAAATAAGTTACAAGTAGCACTCTGACATCTGGAACATTCTGTACCAGAAATCTCTTAAGTTAAAATTTCTTATTAGGTCTAATTTGGATAACATTATCAAAGTATATTTCTTTTTTTAAATTTATTTTGAGTCACGCTTATGGCCACCCCAGCATCTACCTGCTGGGTTCAGGCAATCCTTCTGCCTCAGCCTTCCAAGTAGCTGGAACTACAGGTTCACGCTACCATGCCCGGCTAATTTTTTTGATTTATTGTAGAGACAAGGTCTTGGCAAGTTGCCCGGGCTGGTCTTGAACCTGTGAGCTCAGGCAATCCACTTGCCTTAACCTCCCAAAGTGCTGGGTTACAGACTGAACCACTGAGCCCAGCCCAAAGTATATTTCTTCAGCTACTACTACAGATCAACAATTATGGTACTAACAACTAACATTTAATGTATCCAACATATCCTATGTGTCAGGCACTGTGCAGTGTGTCTGAGATGAAATATTTAAATATTTTTCTCTTTTTACTGATGAGGAAACTTACCCTTAAGAGCATTTAACTGATTTGCCAAGCTGTCGAGCAAGAGGACAAAGCTCTGGCGATGGCCTCATTACCACTAAATGTATTATTCACTTCCTCTGTTCAGTCTTTTCCTTCTAACTTTTGCTTCATCATCTCTAGTCATTTCTATATCTTTTTTACTTTTTTTTCTTTCTTGATGTCTTCCTTTTATCTGTCTCACTTTCATGACTTGTTATATGGATACAAAACTGTCTCATCACTTATTAGTTTGATCTTCATCTACAGAGCAATAATCAGGTCTACTACTCATTCAGTTGGAAAGAAATGATGTTTACAACTTCTGTGGACAATGCCCACATTGTTCTGCAGAATGACAATGCCTGTCTTGCTGCTGATGACTTTGAGTCAAGTATGAGACAGAGCTGGCCACGTGCCAGTCCATGAAGAGCGACATCAATGGGCTTGCAAGGTCACTGAGGACACCAGTGTCACCCGGCTGCAGCTGGAGACAGAGATCGAGGCTCTCAAGGAGGAGCTGCTCTTCCTGAAGAAGAACCACGAGGAGGAAGTAAAAGGCCTACAAGCCCAGATTGCCAGCTCTGGGTTGACCGTGGAGGTAGATGCCCTCAAATCTCAGGACCTCAATAAGATCATGGCAGATATCTGGGCCCAGTTGGACGAACTGGTCCAGAAGAACCGAGAGGAACTAGACAAGTAGTGGTCCCAGAAGATTAAGGAGAGCACCATGGTGGTCACCACGCAGTTTGCTGAGATTGAACCTGCCAAGGTAACACTCATGGAGCTCAGACTTACAGGGTAGGGTAGTCCCTGAAGATCAACCTGGACTCCTTGAGAAACCTGAAGGCCAGCTTGGAGAACAGCCCGGGGGAGGTGAAGGCCCACTGTGCCATGCAGATGGTGCAGCTCAACAGTGCCCCGCTGCACCTGGAGTCTGAGCTGCCACAGACGCAGACAGAGGGCCAGTGCCAGACCCAGGAGTACGAGGCCCTGCTGATCATCAAGGTCAACCTGGAGACTAAGATTGCCACCCACCGCCACCTGCTGGAGGACAGGGAGGACTTCAGTCTCTGTGATGTCCTGGACAGCAGCAGCTCCATTTAGACCACCCAAAAGACCACCACCCACAGGATAGTGAACTGCAAATTGGTGTCTGAGACCAATAACAACAAAGTTATGAGGTGTTGAGGCAGCAGGAGCAGGGCACCCCTCAGGGAAGCAGGAGGACAATAAAAAGTTCAGAAGTCAAAAGAAAAAAAAAGGAAAGAAAAAATGCATGGGTCAAGCAGAACTCATCTATTTGGATTTTTTTTTCCCCCTAACATCCAGCCTCTGACTTTCATGTTCTTAGGTTACCAGAATGCTAGTATAGGACCTGACCTATAGTATATTTTCTGGGTGAATAACTGAATAAATGAGTGACTTAATGATAGAGACTGAGAATGAGAAGATAGAATGGTTGTTCTTTAAGTGATTGCTTCCCTCCAGCTAAGCCTTTAGCCCTGGGCCGTTCCCTCAGTAGTCCTTGCATACTAAGGTCAGACTTTCCTGGTTAAGAAGGAAGAATTTTGGATTCTTGATAAAGTACTTTTTATTCCTAATTTTCCTATGAGTATCTGGATGTATTTTTTTGAATAACTCTAATTAGTGTTCTTAGATTCCTCAGACTATTTTAAATCCTTATTTTTCTTAAAGAGTTCTCTATGTCTGAAAAACACTCCAACATAATTCTGTTGGTACATATTGATCTCACTTTTCTCTGCTATCAGGCCAATGTATGTGTGTGGTGGATAATATCAGTATTTAGTCTGATAGATTGTTCACACATACACATACATGCACAAATGCATACACACTTCTTCCCCTGAAGTTTTGGAATTGAAGACACGCTACCTCCTTACCCTTAAATGCTTCTATGTATGTTTTTTAAAGACAAAGATGAGCTCTTACGTAACCTTGATACAGTCATTAAAATTAGGAAATTAACATTGATATAATACAATTGCCTAGTCTATGACTTATTCAGATTTTTCTAGCTGTTCCAATAATGGCCTTTATAACAAGTTAAAATCCCTGATCATGTATTACATTCATTTGCTATGTCTCTTCATCTTTTTAAGTCTGAAGTAGTTTATTCTTTGTCCTCTTTAGCACTGACATTTTTGATGAGTACAAGTCTGTTATTTTATTATTATTATTTTTTTTGAGTTGGAGTCTCACGCTGTCACTCAGACTGGAGTGCAGTGGCTGCTCCCAGCCACCGCAGCCTCGACCTGCTGGGCTCTGGCGATCCTTCTACCTCAGCCTTCCAAATAGCTGGAATTACAGGCATGTGCTACCACACCCCACTGATTTTTTGATTTATTATAGAGATGAGGTCTCGCCAAGATGGCCAGGCGGGTCTTGAACCCGTGGGCTCAGGCAATCCACTCACCTCAGCCTCCCAAAGTGCTGGTATTACAGGCTGAGCCACCGAGCCTGGCTTACAAGTCTGTTATTTTATAAAAAGCTCTTCATTTAGGGTTTGACTAATTATTTCTTATGATTAGATTTGAGTTATGAATTTGGGGCAGTAATACCACAGAATGGATATTTTATCTTTAGTCACATGAAAAACCATGAGTTCTTACTGATAATTCCAATTTCAGTTCAGTCCACAGGGTTCATTTTATTATTCCTCCTTTCCACATTTTTTTTTTTTTTTTGAGTCAGAGTCTTACTCTGTTGCTCAGGCTGGAGTGCCATGGAATGCTCACAGCCATTGCAGCCTCAACATGCTGGGCTCGGGGATCCTTCTGCCTCAGCCTTCTAAGTAGCTGAAACTATAGGCACGCATCACTACACCTGGCTAATTTATTGATTTATTATAGAGATGAGGTCTCGCCAAGTTGCCTAGGCTGGTCTCGAGCCCCTGGACTCAGGCAGTCCTCTCACATCTACCTCCAAAAGTGCTGGGATTACAGGTGTGAGCCACTGCGCTCAGCTCTTTCCACATTTTTAGCTTCCTTCTTCTACAGTGAGAAGCCTGGTTTCATTATCTTTATTAATTTACTTTTTTACTCAATCGTAGAAACAAAGAAAGCAATTTCAGAAGTGCTAATGTATACATCTGCAAAAAGAAACCCTACTAACTAGCGTTCAGTATTTGCTTTGAGTGTTTTGTTTGGTTTTAGCCTGAGGACACATAGTACAAATACTGTGTTCAAAAGTTACCTAGATTATGTTTCATTATCTGCCCTACCCCCCAGCTCCATCCAGTGTGGGTTTGGTTCATTTGTTTCTGATTATATTTCATTTTAGGGTTTCCTACCATTCCTATTGATGTTGTCTGTTTGTAAAACATCAGTATGTTTTCAAAAGTCAGAACTGTACAAAAGAGTATACTCAGAGAAGCATCACATCCCATTCCTTCTATGGCATTCCCATCCCACCATCTTTTCCACCTACTCTGGGTAGGTATCTCATCTCTTTAGTTTCTTGTTTACATTTCCTGTGTTTCTTTTTGCAGATATATATATATACATTTCTTATTTGAGCAAATACTAGATATTTTTTGTTTCCTCTTCTTATTTACATAGATTGGCACACCATAGATAATCTTCTACACTTTTCTTTTTTTACTTATTAATCTTTAAATCATTCCTTATTAGTTCATAGAGATTTTTCTGGCATACAACTCCTAAGAGTCTCCAAAGTGATATCTTTTTGTGTGCTAGTGTGATGACTGGTGATTGGGAACCCCTAGCAGCTTCAGAATTGGGGCTGGTCACAGAAAGAACAAGACTTGATTAAACGTTGGGACTTTTAGCTCCCCCCCCCATCTTCTGTGGAGGGGAAGGGGCTGAAGGTTAAGTTAATCACCAGTGGTCAGTGGCTTAACCCATCATACCTATGTAATGAAGCTTACATAAGATCCCAGGAGAGAGCTTCCAGATAGCTGAACACGTGGAGGTTTCTGGAGGGTGGCACGCCCCCCCACGAGGGTATGGAAGTTCTGTGTCCCTTCTCATACCTTACCCTATTTTTCTCTACATCTGCATCCTTTGTGATAGCCTTTATAATAGACCAGTTAATTTAAGTGTTTCCCAGAGTTTTGTGACTAGCTCTAACACATTAATCGAACCCAAGGAGGGTGATTTGTGGGAACCCTGTGTTATAGTTGATCAGTCAAAAACACAGGCAAAACAACCTTGGGCTTGCATGGCATCAGAAGTCGGGGGGAGCAGTCTTGGGGACTGAGCTCTCAACCTATGGGATCTGACAGTATCTCCAGGTAGATAGCATTAGAATGGAACCAAATTAGAAGACACCCAGCTAGTGTCTGCTGAAGAACTGATTGCTTGCTTAGTGTGTGGGGAAAGTCCTCCCTCGCCCACATTTGGTCACAGAAGTCTTCTGTGTTGATTGTAGTGTGAAGACAGGAAAAACAGTTTGTGCTTTTTCACTCAGGATAACAATCCCCACAAACTTAACAATTTATGGATAAACTAACGTTTCTTACAAGCAAAAAGAACTCATCTAAATGTGTACTCATTTTAACTTTAGTTTTTACATTTATAAAAATGAAGACATTGGTCTAGGTGTTCTCTAATTTTTTTTCTCATTATTAATGTTATTTAAAAATCTGGACTTGTCCAGGAGAGCTAATTTGAATACAGGAGCATATTTTTTAACCTCTTTTCAGAACCACTTCTGGGGAGAATTTTTGCCTTAATGATAGAGGATTTTTCCCTTAGTGTAGATAGTAAAGGATAGAAACTTATACTGTTTTTCTGCAGATCAAAAAGTATAATTGGGGTTCCTAAATACTCATGTTATATGTAATCCAATAATCTTTCACCTCCTGAGAGATTTGTTAAATGAGAGCAATCATGTAATAGCTGCAGCAGCAGATCAATAAGCAACACTAGATGCAGAAATCTTATATCTTTAAAAATATATAAGATGTAGGGGTGGGTTGGAGGGGGATATAAGATGTCTTAATTTTGGTCCTTGTATTAGTTCTCTATTGCTGTGTAATAAATAAACTCAAAACTTAGTGACTAAAACAACCGTAATATTTATTAGCACTCAGTTTTTGGCTGGGTACTTCTGGTATTGCACCGCTTGTGAGGTTGCAGTCAGATGTTGGCTAGTGCTACAGTCATCTGAAGACTTGACTGAGGGTAGAAGGTTTTCTGTGGTGGTCACTCATAGCTGGCAGGTTGATGCAGTGCTGACTCTCCATAGAGAGAGCAAGTCAAGAGATCTATCCTTGGAAGTTAGTAACACATTATCACTTCATCATGTTCTGTTTGTCACACTGACCAACTCCAATTAAATGTTGGAAAAAAACTACCCGAGAGCATGCACATCACTGGGAGTCATCTTGGAGGCTGGCTTCTAGAGTCTGCCCTTGTGTTTGTTTTTAGTAGAGATGACCTTTTTAGTGCCCTTAAAATATTGCTAAGATGGTCCTTAATGTGAGATATAATCCTTTTGCATTGACAAAGGTGACTTTTGGGTTGTTGTTGTTATTGTTTTTCCAGCTTAGTATTAGAGCTCAGTGTTATTTGCTGAAGAAATATTTACAGTTTGGGTGGAGTAGGCCTAAAGCCATGAATGCATCAAATGACACTAGAGTTGGATCACAGCTTCTTTTTTTTTTTGAGTTGGAGTCTCACTCGGTCACCCAGACTGGAGTGCAGTGGCCGCTCCTGGCCACCGCAGCCTCCACCTGCTGGGCTCCGGCGATTCTTCCGCCTCAGCCTTCCGAGTAGCTGGAATTACAGGCATGCGCTACCACGCCCGGCTGATTTTTTGATTTATTGTAGAGATGAGGTCTCGCTGCCCAGGCGGGTCTCGAACCCGTGGGCTCAGGCAATCCACTCACCTCAGCCTCCCAAAGGCGCGGGATTACAGGCTGAGCCACTGAGCCCGGCTACAACTTCTTATTTTATGGCAAAAAGAGGTGATTAATGGTTTTTAAAAAAGCCTTTAAAAAGAAAATGTAGTAGTTTTTTCTAATAATCTTTGGATTTTTTAACCTTAGTCATCAGAACTGCCTTTGATTATTTCTAAAATGGATTGTATATAATGTAAACTTTGATAAATGTGCTTTTAAATGCCAGTTGATATCCTTAAAAAATATACTTACAACTATAATGAAATTCAAAGTTGTACTGAACTTTCTGAAAACTCTTTTGTAT